TATCTACCCAACAACACCTGTTTTCCTGCTTTCACACACATACACCAGTATACATTAACCAGTTTACTCAATTTTATTAACTTGAACTTGTACGTTTTCGAGAGTATATACATAAACATTGTGAAACAGAGCTCCTCATCCATGAGCCAAGGTAGCCTAGTTCCAGCTGACCAAGCTGGAGCTAGGCTACCACAAGCTGGAGCCACACATGAGTATCTCTAGTCACCAACGTTTCATGGTATACTTGTCGTTTTTGAGTCGCGGTTATTGATTCAGCAACACCGAGACACTTAAGGTCGCTTCATTCTAGACTAAAGATCCATCATGCACTACTCTAATATGCACCACAGCTATTTATGGGACGCATCTACTGGAAGCTCCAACGTTTTGCTTCCCGCTCAACAATAAACATCTTATTGGTGATGAACATTAATCACAGTTGCTGAGCTATGAAGAGCTTCTAGATAAATACAATGATGCTGCTAAGACAACTCACATAATTTTTTACATTAAAAAGGTTTTTTTAAACACCGTTCGTACCTCATATGCCCTTTCGAGCTGACACACGAAATTTAATAGTATTACAGACGCGCAACTCTTGCATTAAACAACGTTTATATAATCCGTTGTAATATATATAATAAGCAGAAATCTGTAACAAACTTTGTAACCAAGCAGCCAACGCACACTGCGGCTCTCTGGATGACAAGATGCACGAATTTCATCCAACAGCTTAACAATTGTGCAATTTCTGTTCAATTAAGGACATTTTGTTAAACGTCTTGTGCAATCAGTGCAATATATTATTTCTATAATGAAGCATAAAAGTTTAATAAGAAAAACGTCTATTTTCAGCTTCCTTCGCCTGATAATTTAAAAGTATGTATCCTTTGTGTGATAACAGTACACACTAGTGTAAAAATATACTTTTGCATAAGCTCCTTTTCCCACAGAACACACCACGCTTATATTATATATATATATATTCTGATATGGAGAACTTCAAACTCTGGAAATGTCCTATATTTGCAACACTGCAACATGGAAGCCTTAGGAAGGCCAGTATAAGGAAGCCCCAGAAGGGGAGTGCAACACAGTCTCCCACGTTGAAAATGGCGACAAAAATTCCCCTCACATTTTCATAATACCCTTTATACAAACCATCCAGCTCACGCGAAAGCTTCAAGCGAAATTCAAACTGCATTAATTTTGATCTCAAACATTTGAATATGTAAAAATCTTATTGAAATTCTATAAAAATATTAAAATTTGGTTACAGTACTTGCATTATATTCCTTGGGTTCCTTTACAAAGTGTGTGAAGGACTAAGAACCGTGAGTTTATGTTTTTGGCTGGCAGCAGGTTGGCAGCATATGGAAGGACTACTGCGCCACACAAGTGTGGCGTGAAGGGTCTTGGCACTACAAGCTAATAAACCCGGCAGACCAAGACCAAGATACGTTAAGGGGTGTTTGTGAGAGGGTCAGGAGGAGGGTATGTAAAAGAGCGGAGCTGGGGAGTGGGCGCGGCAGTCGTATACTCACACTCAGGCAAGATGGCTTCCAGACGGTAAGGACTGATTGATCGGTGCAGTAAGGAGCACCACCACACAAGGCCTTGTGGTGCCTGGAGAATCAAGTCCAGGGCTTGATGACCTAACAAGGCTGTCCCCACGCTACATCGCTGCCGAGCCACATCTTCACTACAACGTACAAAAATCCCGTGTTGGAGGAGGAGTAAGGTGAACACAGCAAGACAGAACACTCGCCAGAAACACAGTGTCCGGGGCCAGGCTCCAGGCGCCCGCTCGCGTCACCCGCGCCTGCGTCCCTCTGCCCGCCCACTCCACTTCCAGATTCTCCCTACCACCACCACCACCATCACCACTACCAACCTCTCCACACTTGCAATTTACATCAACATTTGCAAGGAGACCATTCATATATCATTAAAAATATATACAAGTGTGAATAAATTAGTTATACCTAACGAGAGTCGACGTCTTGTGTGCACATTCATTGAAGCAGTCAACAAATGACGTCACATGACGTCATTGATATTGACCAATGAAAGGCCGAATTTAGGCCGCATCACTGATTTTATCGAATTTCAGCAATTAAGGAAATTTACCAAGAAGCTTATATAGTGTCAAATAAACGTAAAATCCACATAATCAATACCGAGACCATTTTGCAGGGCTGGAAACCTAATGCACCAGCTGATGACAAAAATCGGCAACCCCGTCGCCCAAACATCGATTTGTAGGTCAAAACGGAACCACAAAAAACTAAACACCAGAATGACTGCAAAACTGTCTTCTATAATTAGCAAGACCAGGAGGCCGGCGAGCCAGGAAGCCTACAAACAATACCAGGTTTCCCCCCCCCCATCTCAGCTTACCAAAATTACCCTTCAGCGCTGTTTAATTCTTCTCCCCGCGCCCTTCCCCACCACAACCTCCCTCACCCTCCCCTCGCTGCTCATCCCACGCAGTTGCTACCCCCCAACCTCTCCCTTCCTCTCACACCCTCTTCTCCCTTGAAGGAAGTAGAGTGTGTGTGCTGGGAGACTCACGGGTGGGAGGGAGGGAGGTGGAGGAGCATACAAGACCATCATGCATCTACTGACGCCTTACGGTGTGGGGGGTATTGATCCGAGTCGTCATGCAACATGAAGCAGGGGTCGGTGCGCACCAAAACACTCCCCCCCACCCCCACCAACCCCAACCACCCCCCTCTACCTCCTTCCCAGCACCCACCACTGTCTCATCAACCACCACCACTACCACCATCCTAACCCACGTGGTACACAACACACCAAGTAACACCTGGTACTAACACCAAGGAACACCTGGTACTAACACCAAGGAACACCTGGTACTAACACCAAGGAACACCTGGTACTAACACCAAGGAACACCTGGTACTAACACCAAGGAACACCTGGCAGGTGCATGATGGGGCACTTGACACTTGCGTTATCAAGAGCTGAATAGAACATGAAGCTCCCAGGCCTCGCTCATACGAAAATCTTGGACTCAATAACATGAACCAAACGTCGGCATCAGCACAGTGAATAACGAGGAAGATGCAGCATCAACACACACACTAACGAAGAAAACAAATGGCACTAAAAATATACAAGAGAGAGAGGAGAGTGGATCGGAGCGGACACAGCCCGGAGCACGCAACAGTTAACGAGGAACATGCAACAGAGAAGCATGTGAGGCAACCACTTCAACACTTGACACGCTCACACCAGCTGTGACACAACCTACACCCGGGAACACAAACGGGGAAGTCAGCACCATCTACGTTAACGAGTAAACATCCTGATTAAGTCGATGGTTAGCTCCAAATTGCAAAGTATATCAGCAGTAAGACCTATTTAATGCAAGCAGCACGACACACACGTAATGCAAGCAGCAAGACATACAATTATAGATGTTAAAGAATGCAGCACATACCTGGACTGTACCTGGATGGGGTTCTGGGAGTTCTTTAACTCCCCAAGTCAGGCTTGGTTGACTTGTGAGAGCTTGGTCCACCAGCTTAGAGCTGGTGTTGCTTAGAGCAGCTTGCAGGCCTACATACCCACAACAGCCCGATTGGTCCGAAACTTCTTGAAGAAAACTAGTTTTCTCTTGAAGATGTTTACGTTTGTTCCGGAAATATTTCTCATACTCGCTGGGAGGATGTTGAACAACCGTGGACCTCTGATGTTCATATAGTGTTCTCTGATTGTGTCTATGGCACCTCTGCTCTTCACTGGTTTTATTCTGCATGTTCTTCTATATCGTTCACTCCAGTATGTTGTTATTTTACTGTGTAGATTTGGGACCTGGCTCTCCAGTATTTTCCATTTGTATATTATTTGATCTCTCTCTTGTCGCCTTTCTAGTGAGTACATTTGGAGAGCTTTGAAACGATCCCAATTATTTGGGTGCTTTATCGTGTCTTATGTATATTCTATGGAATATGTTCTATGGAAACCTAATTCCTAAAAACCCTAAACCTAAACCCTCTATTTCAGCAATCACTCCCGCTCTGAAGGGGGAAGTGAGTACCGAGCAGGACTCAAGACGGAACAGCACAAGTGATTTGAATAGTACACCAGAACAACAACAACAACAGTACAATAATAGTACAACATCGTCAGAAACGTCAGATACGAACCTTGAAACACTACCAGAAACACCTGTGTGTTTTACAACACGCCAACATAAATGCACGAGTGACCACACAGTCAAAGCACTTCATCTAGTGAACTTGCGGCAGCTAAATTGAAAGGTAAATGACCCACCTCCATTTGTGCAGTAAAAAAAACATGCCTCAAATGACAGTACAAATGAGGATTTGCCAGAGTTTTACGATCAGCGGGTTGTTCAGATTAAGCGGTAAACTTCCAGTTCGAAAATTCACTGTAATATGGAGGAGAAGTGGGGGGCGGGGGGAGAGAATTATCAGGAGAAAAGGCCAAGAAATGAAGCCGGTTAAGATAGCAGCTCTTTCATATACGCTAATCGAATACTACATTTATCTCTGGCAGTCCTCGTCTCTTAAGCTCAACTACGCTCCGGCTGCTTTGTTCGTGTTGAAGAGTGAATATCACCGATAATGCAACACAAAAGTTCGTGATCCAAACTAACACATTCATAGGTCTCTTCTACAACTTTAACTCCATTACACCCCATTTTCAGGCCTGGCATGGGATATGAGAATGTTCTGTATGGTCAAACCAATAGCCAAGGTGAACTGCTTTAATGGTTCTTACTTGCCAATGAACTCATGGTCTTCACGTGTACTCTAATGTGGTTTTTACTAAGTAAGATATTTTCCCTACAGAGGCAGCAACATCCGAATTTTGCTTTGAAACACCACCAGAAACACCTGTGTGTTACACACCAAGAACATGTATTTTTCTTGTATAACAAAGAAATATACACTGAACAAAATATATACAAGTTATTTACGGGACATGCGACCATTTTGCAGCACATATTGACAAATGAAATTTAACAGTAATTCTATGCACCCAAAATTTAATAAACAACAGCCATGAATGTAAGCAATACCAGCATTACAACAAGACATTTTGGCACTCGGGAACTACATTTGGGTAACTGTTTACAACTGCCACACCTCCATGATCCTACTCCACATCAATCCGGTAACAACCAGTATAAAAACACGAGAATTACATTAATGCCTACAATGAATACGTCACATCAACCTCGAGTGTCACAATCTTGATATATCAAGTGAGGAGTACGAGGAGCTTATGGTTCTAGAGTGTACCGTGAGGCAGTACGGTGAAGGGCTGAAGGAAGGGATGAAGGAAGGGCTGAAGGAAGGGCTGAAGGAAGGGCTGAAGGGCAACACACTGGATTACATTCTAAATTCCATCAAAGAAGTGGCCGCTGATCCCTGAAACCACAGCAAAGTTAGTTTTGATTTACAATTACACAGAGATACATTTCTCAAGAGGATATACAACATGAATCAATAACCCCTCTTAACGGGTGAAATATTACCAATATAAACAAAAAGTGATCTTGTCGAGTCTGGCACCTGAAAGACCTTAAAGGGTCCAAATAATGAGGACCTAAAATGCCAGACTTTGCTGCATAGTCTGAGAATGGAAGCAGTAGGGTAGACCGGCGGCCTGGTTCCCAGGAGTGTGGTTCAACCCTCCAACATTAGGTTTCAAGGTTGAACGCCTACTACCTGCCAGGATCAGGATGGCTTTCAAGTATACTTTGATACCCAATGAAAAATCTGAGGACTGAAATCCATTCTCGTTGGTGTGTGTAGATTGAGAATATACATCGTGGTCAGTACCGAAGGGTTTTCGTGTGGCCGTAATGTTGGGTGTTTACGTGGTTTAAGAAGTTCCTCACATTCAAATGTCTGCATATTATTATTAATACCAATAATGTTCAGAGACGTGGTCGCTGTAGACATACTGGGAATTACACATAAATAAAAACCCTTTTAAATATGTAAGGGTGAGATGCCGTGTCATTGTATATGTACAATGAGACATACGTGAACGTAACTGTGAATATGAATAGCAGACATACATTTATATACATACATTTATATATATTCCATATATCGTACTTAATCAAAACTGCCCAATCAGTACAATTTTACCTTATCGATTAATGTTTAATTTATTGAAGATGCAGTTTGAACCAAAGCTAATATAGCAACTTAACATAAAGATGCCCATCTTTCATCAACAGTGCGTTAAGTACGTCAAACTTGGCCAAGCCTTATTAATTCATGCTGTTAATATTATCTTACCTTCAGCGTGAAGTTGTGTGCATTAAAACTATTGAATGTGCTAAGGAAGACGGTACACTATGTGCATAATTAACTATAAACAATTAACACACACTATATCAACTCACGAATAACGTGAACGCACAAAAAAATACCTATCGTATCCGTAAGTGTAAGATAGACGATATACGTAACTCAAGACCTAAAATCCTGCCATATTTTGTATTTGGTCGTATAGGCGTCTTGCGCACACAGACATAAGCTGGGTAAATATCCTGTTACAAAACATGGTAGAGGAGACCTTAAAGACCATCACGACTGAGGGAGGCGGCGAGTGTGTTGACAAAAGGTGAGCGCGCAATGAATCCTCCACTCCATCAGTGCAATCCACCTAGACAGGTGCTGAAGAATGACCTCAAACGAAGCAGCTGTAGCCAGAAGAGCAGAGGTGGGAAACGAAGTAGGTCTCGTGGTACTCTTGTCGTAAACCCCCAAAGCACCGGTATGTATCCCT